TGCAAAAAATGCAATAGGCTTAGCCCAAAGAGAAAACTCTGGTCCAAGGAGAGTTTCAAGAGAAACGAAAAAAAATAAAAAAAGGAAAAAAGAAAAGATAGAATGCAGTTCATTTTACCACTAATCTTGATAAATTATACACTCAAGCTCCTAAAGTTGACATATACATTCCAAGAATACTAGAAAAGCAGTCCAGTTTTTGCATTTAATTGCCTTTTATTCTTATTCCAAATTCTCTTCCCTTCAACATTTTAATGAACCAAACAGAGCTTTAATTTTCCTACCATACAATTTACTAAGTTAGATTTATATGATCTCTCTACGGTCTTAACAAAAATGAAAGAGCATGGTCCATGGACCTCAGTTTCAACAGAGATATCATTTCCCTCTGCTATAAACAGAGTCGCTCTGTTCTCAGAGTTTTAACCGACCATTTCAAAATTCAAACGTTTATGCCATTTTCAGCTCAAAATCTCAAACTCATCATCATTTATCAGATCCATCCAAAACAAAAATCAGGTTTATCTCAACACAGAGCAAATCTACTGACAATGAGAACTTAAAGAAATCGATACGTATAAGATTAAAATCGATAATACGGCAACTAAGATGAAAACAGAGACATGCATTTAGCAACGCTTCGAAACAAGTATATAGAAATAAAAAAAAATCAAACAATGAAGCAAATATTTGCATAAACATAAGAAACGAACAAAATATCTATATATAGAAAGAAATACTGATTGAACAGAGCACCTGATCGTAGAGACAACAATGATCCTTGAAAGAGAAGGATAATCCTGGAAAGCTCTAGATAATCTCCCGAAGAGGTTGAAGCTTCTCATTTCTTGCTCTTAGATCTGTTAAGCCTTATAACCAAGAAATCTGCAGAAAATCGCAGAATAAACGCTAACCTTTCAGGTACATATAAAAGAATATAGAAGTAAAAAGGAAAAAGAGAGAGAAAGAGAAGTGACCGGTAGCGTTGCTTCTTACATGTAAAATAATGGCAGAGGAAGAAAGAAAGAAGAAGAAGAAGCGTTGGAGAAGGAAAACGCAAAATGGAAGGAGGAGGAAGGAAAAATGGAAACCCCGAATCAATGGGAAACGACAGCTCCGTGGCGCTGTCACGATGGTTCTCTATGACTTGGGAAGCAAGCTAAAGGCGGCACGTGTACTATTTTTTTCGAATATTATTAGCCTTTCGTGTACTTTAGAAATTTTGTAAAATAAATTAACCCTACTTGCGCCGTCAGGAGATCGATCTTGGACCGCACAGTCGTTGAGTAATCTCTGACCGTTGGATCCATCGATCTCACCTAATCATCCAAAAAGGGCTTTTGCTGTTAGCTCAGAAAAAGGATATGACGGAGGTACAAATTTTTTATTTTTAATTAAAAATAAAAGCACGAATTTTAGTTAAGGGGAAGGAAAGAAATTTTAGAAACAAATGTAGCTAACAGGCTGACGCCACGAGGTTTTGACCTAAAATCAAAGCTGGAAAAGGGCAACTGCCAAGAAAACGGGAGAGGTGAAAGCTGGAACAAAGTTTTGTACACGTTTGTGTTAAATGTAACAGCTCGGATCCGGAATATTATATTTGGATACAAATTGTAATAATCTCAATTTAAATGTTTACTATAATTATCCATATCTAAATTATATGGTACAAAAAATTTTTAATTTAAACTATTAATAACAATTAAATTAAATTTTTATATAATTTTAATAATTATATTTATTTGTGAAACAAAATAATGATAAAATTGTAATTTTAAGCATGGATTCCAGAACCTAGACAGGCTGTTTCTTGCCGAACGTTAGGTCAATACATGCATTTTTGTCACATGGGAAACGGGAACACGCAAATGAGGTTAGCATGCTTCACGGCTTTGTGTGCACAGCTCACACCATGTTTTTTTCTTGGCCACAAAGTACATTGTATTTTTTTTTTGGATATTTCATATTCACTCTTCGAAATAAGAACATGAGAGGAGTAATGGATTATGTTGATAGAAATTAATGGAAATTATTTTATTTATATTAATTAGTTAAAAAATAGTTTATTCAATTATTTTAATTATTATTTTTATCTAAAATTTAGATTCTGAACGATTGAAAAACTATATTAATAGTATATTCCATATATAAATATCATTGATAGTTTTAAACTATATTTAAAAAAATACATTTTATTCAAATCTAAATCTTTGAAAACCGAAGAAGGAACCGAATCATGTACTCAACCCTAAACAAAAGCATGTGTTGACTGCCCATAAATGATGGAATCGAACATAAAAAATGTTGACATTACACCCATTAAGAATATTATAATATATGTATTTGCATGTTTAAACTAAGGCTAAGACAATAAGGACAGTCATCAAAATCAGACGTAAAATAATTTATGACATATGATCATTTTTAGATTCCGGTTTCGAAGGTGGAACAGATAGTAGAAGGTCACCACGATTGGTTTGACTCGACACGTGTCATGCGCTTTTTCTTTGAATAAAAGCAGCCACGCGAGGATATTCCCTTGTGTATACTGTTTTGGGAAAGTGGGCCACCGTTGTGAGAAAAGTCTGCTAACTTTTTTTGGGCTTACTCGTTGGCCCATTAGATTGGGCCATATATCTACTGTTCTATTCATTTAGGTTTTAATATGTAATGCTTAGAGACTGTCTTATACTTATACTTTTATTTAGTCTTTATAATTAATAATTCATTAGCTGTGATTAGTTTCAACATTACTTGTGATTTTTACATCACGTGATGTTGATATAGAAATGACAAATGTCACGTGACTATATCATCATATTACGTTATAATCCATTATGATATGCAGGGACGGAGTTAACCAAGAAAAAAAATAAAAGTTAAAAATTTTAAAAATTAATATATTAAATTTAATCAACGATCAAAAGATTCATAATAAATAATAATTTTATATAACATCTAAATAAAAAAAATTAAAAAAAAACTTATAATAGTTATTTAAAAAAATTATGCTCGATGATGTTTTCTAGATTCAAATCCATTATTCAATATTCTTATTTATTTATATTTAAACTTAAAAAAAACATAAAACTATAGGAATAAAATATAAATAATTAAATACGAAATACAAGATTTTATATAATAGTTAACTAATATAAATAGAAAAAAAAAGGTAAAAGAAAACTTTACTTCTTTTTAATTTTACACAATTGTGATGAGTAATCTCTGTTTTTTCTTTTCCAAACTCACAAGCTCATAAATCTCTTTTGAAAAATAAGGTGTGTTTCTATGTTGAGTTACTAAAAAAGAGAAATAAAAATAAAAAGATAGAAAATAGAAGAGAAAAAGAAAAAGAAAAAGAGAAAGAGGTGTAGAGAAATTTAAATTAGGGTAAAATTAAGTAAGTTTTTGAGGTTGTTTGATTTTTTTATTTATATTAATTATTAAATAAAAAATTTTATTTTAAGTGGATCATTAATAATATATAATAAATAAAAATTTTGAAGGGACCATTGATAAAATATATATAAAAAATAAATATTTTTAAAAATTTTGGGGGGCCATTGTTGGCTTACCCTCCGCCCCTGATGATATGTAATGTAAGAATAGAGAGAGTATTTAAGGAGGAAAAAGTAGAGAAAATGGGGTGACTTAATTTCTTGATATAGAATGGTGAAGAATGTAAATCCAAGAATGAAGCTAGCCAGATATATACGTCAAGAACAAGAGGTCAAACCGGGGACTGTACACATCAAGATGAATAGCATTAACAACTTAACAAGAATAGCAAAAGCGAGCTTCGAAAAGCTTTTGAAATCATAGATAATTATCAAGAGTCAAAGAGAACAACTTTTTGATATAAGGGGTCCGGCCGTCGGTGTGAAAAGTCAATGAATTTCTCTTGTTTCTTCATTATTGATTCAAGTGGTTCAATCCCATTACTCCAAGCTGTTCAAGCTGGCTTTGCATGATGTTGGCAGGTCACCAGCTAGCAAACAAAGGAAAACATCAGACTTTGCTTGTATCTCCTGGCACTCCTTTTCCTTCAACACAAAATTTGGCATAAATCTAATCAGAGCTCATCAATGGAACAGTATTCAAATTTGGCAACGTATAGTTCTCATTGCTCTAATATCTCTGATAAGGTCTTGGTTTACTTTGTTAACACAAGGTTTAGTCTAAATCTCAACTATAGCCCTAAACCCTAGATGAGCTTTGTTCTAAACGGACCAAACATGTAAAACCAGACTCGAAACTGTATAACCCCTTATCCTCACAGTGAATCACTTGTGAAGTCATGAACACTCTAGATTTTTGTTCAGTTTTGGACTATATCAGCCTGCAAACCCATACCAATCGTTTATTAAGCCCCTGACTAGTTGGCACCATTGGAGATCAGTAGCAGTGTCTAGCAAGAAAGGCAGAAAAATATCAAATGAAAATTGGTCTTATCTGTGCGTTCTTGTTTCCCTGGTAGGTTCTAAGGTGGGAACTGAATCCCAAATCTACTCACCTCATGCTTATAACCTAATCATTAGGTGAAACAGTTGAGATCTCAAAACAGATGTTGAACAAAGCAAGATGAAATTCATGAAGGGGAAACAGCTGGAAACATGGCACTGAGAATGAAGAAAGAGAGATGGTGGTAGGAAAGGAAGGGAACCCATCTTTCTCTGGTCAGACACCTGCAACAACTTGACCACCAAGCCAGATTTTTCTGTTCTTTCTCTTCTTTTGGTATGTGACATCTCTATCACCCCAACGTTCATGAATTTCTTGGGGTACATTTAAGACTTGTACATGTCATTCAAGCCCATTCATCAAGGTCACCCTGTCTTCCACTTTCCCTCCCAAAAACAAAGCCACGTGTTCCTCTCAACTCTCAACCAACTCTTGGTCTTGTCACCGCAAAGAAGGAAAGGGAAAAGAAAGAAAGGGCCAAATACCAGTTATCTCATAACATAAACCCAATAAAAACTCTTGGGTTTAGGGACTAATTGTACTTTAAGTTTAAACATGGATATAATACAAACGGTAATCCTTCTACAAAACAATCCAACATCCGATTCCGAACCCCGAAAACCTCAACTCTCTCTCTCTCTATACACTTTTTACTTTAACCTTTGATTAATTTGATTAATGCAGCATTAGCTGAATCTAATCCTTAACAGAAGAAATGTCAATCTCTATCAAGTTCTCTTCTTCTCCATGAAAATCCAGGTCTCTCTTATCCAGAACTATCTCAATCAAACCTTCTCTGTCTTCCTCTTCCCATCTGTAACATATCTTCTCCGACGAAACCCATTCTCCGATCGCCAGATAGTCCGTTTCCGACGACGAGCTATCCGAGTCGGACTCCGGGTAGTAAAGCGACAAGGAAGGGTACCTCTCGATAACCCGGGTCGGATTGGAGACGTTCTCATTGGGATCCTCTTCTTCTCCTTCATGTCCTTCATATATAACCTCTAGCGGAGCTCTTACGTCCCATTCAACGAACGTTTCTTCGAAACTCTGCATTACAAGCTCTGGGTCCTTTTTGCATGTGGACCATTTGAGCTCTTGTTGTGAAAAATCTGTTTTTTCTGCTTCAGCATCAGCAAGGCTTCTTTTTTCTCTGGTTTCGGATTGGGTTCTTTGGATGGCGCCCAGACGAAGAAGGGAAAGCAAGAGAGAAGCAGTTAAAACGAGGACAGGAGAGAAAAGGATTTTGAGAGAAAAGCTTTGAGGGAAATAAAGAAGAATCAAAATGTAAAGAGTGATAACGCAGGAGAGAAGAGGATCATTTGAGGAGAGAAAAGAAAGATTAGAAATTGTTTTCGAAGAAGAAACCATGGTAACAATTTCAATCGATTTCAAATACTCCCAAGGATTCCCATTCTCATTCTCATCTTCTTCCATAAAGAAACACAGGAGGTGAAACTGCAAAGGAGGGAACTTTGCGAGGAGTAAAAATGAAAAGGAGTTCAGTATGGCGGTTTTATCAGGGAGACTGCTTGACTGCTTCTTCGCTCCTTTTTCTTTGACAAGTCTCTGCCTTTTGCTCTTTTGGAGGGTGCGTAAGAGTGAGGCATCGAATATAAGCAAAGTGTTGGGAGTGTGCAATTACCCAGATGACCTTTGTCGAGTAGCTAAATCTACATCTGAGAATAGAGACCGACTTTTGTCTATTAACGAAATCGACAAAAGATCTTGCAATATCAATCTTAAAAGATGGTTTATCTGCTTACATTGTTTGTATCCATGGATTTAATCAGTTGTATTAAGACACGAAACAGAGTTAGAAGAGTTTGAACCTTTTGGACCCTGTTCATCAGTCCCAATTCCAGGGTTCTCACTTCTAAGACAACACTAAATTTTCTATTTTATGGAAATGTAAAGAATCAGTATTTGCCTTGTTTTTACTAAGGAGTTTGATAGGCTTTTTTGGACAATTCCATACATGATCTCCATCACAGTTGAGGCAGCATGGCTTTGGATGATGAGCTAATAGACCCTTGCCAGTAGAGTATCAGTTCTCTTGCACCAGGTCGTGGACGGTGGAGCGTGGCAGATCTAACTACATACCTTACAAAATAAATGAACATTACTGTTCCTTACTTTCACTGTTAGTGACTGTAAACATAGGAGTTATCCTTTCTTATCAATCAAGATTATATCTTTGCGAAGAGTAGTCTTAGAGTAAAATCTTAAATGCATGAAGTTGATACCTGACCGTATAAGCATAATTTTTTACTCTTTCCCCTGAAATATGGCATCTGAAATGGCAAAAAGATGTCCACAATTTATGTAAGAAACATAAGTTGACAGCAAGCAATTAATTTGCATCCTCTTCAATTAGCAGGCTTATGAACAAATGTATACATGAAGAAATAAAGCAAAGGATGCGTAGGCAAGTTGTTCAAATGAAAACTTGGGACAGTCATTGACAATGGAACAATATCAGGCCAAGTGTTGAATATTAGCTCTGTGGGGGCTATGACCTTTGCCAACCATTATTTCCTCCTTTATTTTTCTTTCATTCACTTTAGTTACTCAAAATCCTTTGCTTCCTGGTCATATTTCTTTTCATTACATTATCATGGTTTTCATCTTTTCCTTTCTCTGACAAGGAAGTTGTCTCGTGATGTTGGTGACCTTCTCCTACCTCACCCTACTAACTCTCCCCCATCTTTTCTTTTGCCTATCCTTTTTATCCCCTGACAAAACCTGGTGGACTAGTAGCTAGTTGATGTATATATATGTTTCTTTCCTGCAATCTTGCGTGAAACCCCTTTCAGAGATAATCCAGTGTTCAAGTTTTAATTGCTTAGAAGTAAAGTTGGATGCACTACACGTTTATTGCAATGCAAGCAGTTAATCACAGATCAAAAAGATTTCGACAAAGAGCTAATCAATTGAATTTGGTAAGATGGGTGGCATTGGCATATGGTTTTCTTAATTAGGCCCTACCTATAGCACCTGAAAAAAGCAACCATATTGGTAGTTAGGAATCGATATAACCTAATTTACATACAGCTACAATCCTTCCTCCAAAGTCCAAAGTTTTTTCTAATTGTTTTTCAAATATGAAAGGCCTGGCTCTGACAACTTTCTATCCAGCACATGCTCCATCCCTCCACCATCTGCTTGCTTGTTGAGCTGCTCCAAAGTGTTTACTTGTTCAAACAAGGGACAGAATTGGGCCTATTTTGTAGCTTTCAAGGCATTTAACCAGATAATTTTGGTGCGTTACAACAAGGCTCAAACCTCAAACAATTTGGTTCCTAGGAGCACTAAACCTTTAGGCTCAAACCTCAACCATGGCAAGGTTGGCAAATTCAATTAACGATTGACTATGGAAACCCAGCAAGCACTAGCCACATGTGGAGTGGATGGTCCAAAAAGCAGCCAAAACGCCCGGCTGCTGAACTGCCTTTAGCTACAACGAATGCCAAGCCTCTCCTCTGCCTAACCCACCAGTAGGCAAATGGCTAACTGGTCCAGGAAGGCGTGGATGTGTATTGATATGTACCCGTGCATTCTTTTGCTTACTATGCACATGGTATGTGTAAAAAAGTAAGGTATCCCCCCCCCCCCCCCCCCCCAAAAAGCATTACGTTAAAAAGCTACAAAATTGTTGATAAAACAGAACTTGAAAGGGAAATCAAAAGAAGAGATATTTTCTCGAAGGGCTTTTTTCGGGAGTTTCTCTAGCTAACCTTCCCTAGTTGGGTCTGCCACTAAATCCTAGCTTGACTTCCAAGAAAATAATAAGGGGTTATGATTGGATATGGAAGAACATTGAATTTCAACCTTAAGGTTCTCTCTCTGTGCCCTTTTTGGTGCGTATGGGTTAAAGTAGAATATGCCATCTTGATAAGATAAAAAAACGTTGAGCAAGGAAGGAAAAAGAAGGAGGTTTTGATTATTCTGCGTCACCAACCCGAGAATCCATGCAGAATTCACATGAGAGACGTAAAGTAAAATGGGAATATTAAATTTAATCGTCAGCCCAATCTTTATGTCCTGCTACTCTGCATTTCCTTTTGCACTAGGCAAAGGGCAAATTCTGGTATATTTCTGGGTGGACCTTTGTTCCTTACATCCAATTCATGAACAGCATACAAGGCAAAGAGCGGTCATGGCACCTAGATTTTATGCTTAAATGCCTGGAATTATTCTTCAATCCCATCTCTAATTCTATTTACTTTTTGCGATTACATGTTCGTTTTAAGATCAATCTAGAGTATGGAGTTTATACATCCTTTGATATTTGTACACAACCATAACTGTTAGTATGTTTCTAAGAGAGGGAGCTAAGGATAGCCTGATTTGTCATGTTAAGGCTTTTTAACAAAAATCAGGTGTTAATGAAGTGTGTTTGTCCATTCACTTCAATCAACAGACGGCGAAGTAGCTTCTGAAACTTCATGAAATTGCCAGCAACCCGTAGAGTAGTCGGCAGTCAGTAGTCCTATGGATGAGACGGGGGATATCCTCTAATGTGCTGAATATTCGGAGGGGAGCATTCGAGGAGTTGGATAACGAGAGCCTAGAATAGGGCGAAGTACGAAAGAATGAGAAACACGACAGAAGCAATATCACTGATGAAAGAAACAGCAAGTATAGCACAACATCATTATTAGATGAACTGAGAAATTATTTACTTCCGTAAACGGAAAAACAAAGATGCAAGTTAAATGAATCAGGATAACTACCAGTTTCTGCAATAGAAATTCTAACCACCATCTGTGGAAGGCGGAGGACTCTGCTCAAATATAGGTGGTCTTGAATCTTGAAAACTAGCATGTTCTAGGCCACCACCACTGCTGCATTGCCCAACATGATAGTCACTTCTAACTGGAAAGGTTCAACCATGCTACTACTACAGGAGCTAGCAGGACGGCCAGGAATGTTATCCACGCCATTATAGGGGCTCTGATAATGGTTACTTCCACCACCAGGTATAGGATGATAACTCCCAAAGGAACCAGCAGTTTCCCTTGGAAGGCTACTACTTCCATTATGTAGATAAGGAGCTGGTTGCTGTTGAACTTGATATACCTGATCCCAATCAGAATAAGCTTGAACCCCTGCGTAAGTTGAGTACACATTTTCCCCTGGAATGCTACTACTTCCATTATATGGATATGGCCCATAAGGAACTGGTTGCTGTGAAACTTGATATAACTGATACCATTCAGGTAAAGCTTGAACCCCTGGGTAAATTAAGTACACCTGTAATGTTTAACACACCTTACACAAATTACCAAAATGATTTTCCGGCCATCTTGCTTCCTTGTAGGCAACATTGAGCACAATCTGGGCATTTATCACTTACTTGGTTTGGCATTTGGTAGCCATAGTTCAACAGAGGGGGCGCTGAATGCAAGCTTGGATGCCAATGCCCTTCAACAACTGGTCAAAGCAAAAATATAATCAAATTCAAAACCATGATATTCATATGAAATATCCAAGAATTCCTGATTTTAGTTTGCAAAAGCCTAGATGAAAACCTGATGAACCACTATCGAATGACCCTACAGAATTTTGCTGAGAATAAGGTACAGATGCAGATTCAACAGAACGCTTCATCTCATCCAGATATCGCTGTGACTCTCCTCTGTCAAGTTCAACAAATTTCACCTAAAAAATGCCACAATATTAGTCACACTTTCCATCATGCATATTGATGACAAAGTTGCTAAAAAAATACCTCGTCAAACAACTCATCTGAGCCGGGCATATTCTTGGTTAGAGGTAAAGTATATTTGGCTGCCAGAAACGTAACACATAAAGATAAAGCCACAAAGTAAATGATTGCAGCAACTAAAGCAAATTGGTAAGCCAATGACTGCATAAACATGCATGCTGGGATTACAGAATACCTAGCATGTTATTTACTTCATATGCTGGTAACTCCCTTCCCGTCCCTTCCAATCTTTTAGCGATACGTAGGTTTAGCTCCTCTGGCTTTGGGAATACCACAACCGCAATCTGATTTGTACATGAACATGAACCATTCATACAAAAGAAGAAGAGAGGTAAGAGAGTCTAATGAAAATTTTCCAGTCATAAATTTGTCAGAGATAAGGGGATCAAAAAATGAAACTACCTTGCGAAACCTCAAAAATAGTCCCAGTTTATGATTGCGTGTACTCCTGCCGATATTTAGTTGATCAAAAACATAATTGCGACGGGTCTTGGCAGCCCTTGATATGAGGGAATCAGATATTTGATCTACTCGATCTGTCGAGGGATGCAATATTTCACCATAGGTTCTCCTAATCTGTAAAAAGACATGACTTCACTGGGTTAGTCAGAAACCAAAAACAACTAAGGCGCAGAGTTGTTGGGAAACCTAAATTTTCTTTTTCCCAAAGCAATAAAGAAGACAGAAGAAAAACAGATACCTTCATTTGTTTCAGAGCCTGATTTGTTCCCAGAAAGATATAACGCTTCTCAGGATGTTCTCTAATCCATTTCTTTGCCCAAGTGGTCTTGCCCGCCCCAAGTAATCCCACCATCATAATCACTTCGCAGTCTGTCTCACTGGGAAAATCCGGTCCCTTAATCACATTTCCATCTTCAAAAGCAGAAGCCCAAGGCTATACCATCTTCAGGAATCAGTCCATCTTCAATACTGAATTGCAATTGAACAACAACATTTTTTAACAAAACATGTGGAAAGACAGCCCATAGCCATGGAAGCTTCCTAAGAGCGGAATCCACCACTTCAAGATCCTCTGGATCAGTATTAAATTGCTTTGCAGTACCCAACCATTTCCCATTCTTGACAAACCCAATGGAAGCCAGTGGCTTACTCTCAAGATCCACCGCACAAACAATTGTATCTCCAACCCCAAACTTTTCACCATAATCAGAGAAACGTTTAGTATTAGAAAACTTCCCTGTGCCCTCAAACCCAAAGCTGTTTTTAGTTTCACCAAGGCTTCCCACTTCAACACCCCCCCTGGAAATGCCGAGACGGCAAACATGCTGCTGGTCAGGGGGAGTATCTTCCATTTCAACTGGTTGAGTAGAAAGAATTTTGCAGCCAAAACAATACTTCCCTACAGCTATTCCAACACTGGCACGAGCACCAGACCAGCAATAGGCAAACCCCTGATCATGGCGTGCTGACCCTATAAGATCATCTTCAATAATAAAATCTAACGAAAGGGAAACAATGCACATCGGGTATCAGAAACCTACAAAAGGATCCATATTAAGTTTCAGAAAACATACATGCATGCCTATGAAACTATAAAAATGATAGTAAACACTGTTCTGTTCAACTTGACTCAACCTAGCCTGTACTTCCACTTTCAACTCTAGACTCTAGTGCTTGTAGAGACAAGCTATGGCAAAAGCTGATGAGAATCAGATAATGTAAGCAACCGCTTAAAACCCACCTCGACCAACCATACTCAACTCGAAAAAAGTTAGCAACTTGACCTCGACCCAACCTGACCAATTGCCATCTCTAATGATAATTGCATAACTCTAAAACATTTCATTAATCTCAAATGAGCTCCCAGACATTTCTCCAATTCAGAGCACAAACACTCGATATTTATGAATTCTATAACATAAACTATACATTTACACGAGCAATTTTAATTTCAAGAATTCAAAGAAAAAGCTACAGAAAAGTTTCATAAACCAATCAAATTAAATGCGTGAAAAAAAGAAAATGAAGAGGGACAAGAAAAACAGAAAGAGGTTAAAGAAAAAGAAATTTGCCTAAGTCGCAGTCAGCAGGATTGAGAACCACGCGCTGCTTCTTCTTCTTCTTATCATCTTTGTCATTAGTTTCCGCCGTCTTGTCCGGTGGTTCTTGCTCTGCTTCAGTTCCGGAGTGCTGAAGATCGCCTCTCGTCGAAGCCATGAAATGGGATTTTCTTTGATTCTTGAAAGGAGAAAGAAGCAGAGACAGCGCGCGAAAGTGACGTCCTGAATTTACCCTTTCCGTCGGGTTTATATAGGTAACCGTAGGGAGGATTTAAATCAAAACGACAGTGCATTGTATTTAAAATATCCTTAAAGGTCTTAACGGGTTTGGGCTCGTCCGTTCGTTTAGGCTTATGAGCTTGACTGGGCTTAGTGGGCTCTGGAATGGTTCTCATTGGGCCATATGGGCTGGACAGAATTGAGCCTACAGTCCGAAACTATATAGATTCGCTCTCTTGATTTCCTTAAAATTAATGATTATATTCGCAATGACAAAAGGCTTACCTATAAAAGAAAACAGAAAAGAAGAGGGATTTGTATAAGTTAAATTTGTTCTTTTTAGTGACATTTGGCATATTTCTTTTCAAATAAAGGGTAAACATGCTTCTGAGTGACACTTTGGATAGGACAGAAAAAAAAAAAAATGTGCACTGCCATGACTGAACACTTTAAGTTGCCACTTGCCTGCGAGATCAAGCAATATTATTCCATGTATTGTTTGGGTATAATATTTATACACTATTATTTAATTATGGAATTTTTTTAAATTATAAGTATTTTTTTAAAATTAGGGAACAATAATTTAAATTATGTTCTTTTAAGTAAGAAGATCATGTACCACCAATGAATTAAATGTTTAGGTGTAAATTATAAGAATTTACTTTTAAATATCTCAAATTGTAAATTTATTTATTAATAATAAAATGAATACATTTGATTCGCTAATAGTTTACAAATATTATGTGCTAACTGTGCATCAAATCAAAAGTAAATCTCGTGAAGACAGATTTATGATCCAGATGGAGGCAGGTGAGGATTTGTCTTATGATTTGTCTTGAGGATGTGCAAGTACATGAGATTAGGCCATGTGCTTTTCTGGAAAACCTTTCTGTTTTTCTTCCCATAAACTGCCATGTTTACAATAATTAGGCATTGGATGCTTTTTACACATTAGAATTAAATACATTGGATTCTTCTAATCTTCAACTTTCAACTCATGCATGCACAGAAATCAGATTGAATAAGGAACAGGCAAAAAGTTAGCACTAAAGATAAACATCATTCTTTTTTTTTTAATTTAATTTTTTGGCTTTAGACTTATTTATAAACTATGGATCCCAAAAAAGATTCTTTAACAATGTCACAGGGCATTGAAATTTGTGCCCAAAACATCTATTATTAGTATAATGCAAGAATAATTACACAATTGGAAGGAATATCAGACAGGCAAAAGTGTTGATGATCAATGACAGACACTTTGTTGGAAATAAAAGTCATCAACTGTTTTCATCCTTTAAACTACATAGATTAGATAGCATCAAGGACCTGCTTTTGATTTCCAATTTGAGTGATCTAGATGAAAACCCATTTTTTCTGACAAAAAAAAAATGCATAAAAAGAAAGAAAGAAAGAAAGAAAATCAGTGAAATGCCCCATGTGTGCAAGTGGCTTGAAATAGGCAAAGGTCAGTAGAAACCAACAATGGTTCCCAGTCTTCACGATATTCCTTAGGTCTAAAGTTTTTTCTCAATATGGTACAACTAACTTAACTGGAAAAAAGGGCAGAACATTGATGTACTTGATGTCAAAGCTTTCCAGATATAGCCATGGACAAAGGCATTAAGTTGTTTGATTCCTGAAATCAAGGCAGCCCTTAATTCTAGTAGACAACAGCTAGAATCACGATGTTTGAACCTTAACGCGTATACAGATTGCAAGACACAGCCCTCCTATAGCTGTCATTCATTCCCAAAGATTTCCAATTTCCCCCTCTCCCTCTCATTCATTAAGACTAACAAAGTATGTTGAAGTAAATTGGAACGCCTTGATCATTGATTCAGAGAACTGTTCCGGGAGTTATTGAATCTCTCCTACCAAGGCAATGAATATTACTCCTCAAATTCCTAAACAAATGGGGCTAGCCATGGATCTCTATCAAGTACACCTGAATGCCAGCAGTTTTTAGAAGAGTTGAACACCTTGTGATTACTTCATGGTGCAAGGGGCACAACTTCGAATATATTGAAGTTTTTATTTAATTGCATTTCAAGCAACACCATGAGACAACAGATCATGCAACCGAATATTTTTAGCTTGTAGAACACACCTAGAATCAGCAGCAAAATGCAGTTAATGCAATAAAGCAGGTCGTGTGACACACGTCAAAATATGGAATCTGCACCCTTTTGTAACTTTTATGGAGGAAATGCATGAAACCCATTCTTGGTTTTAGATTCAAGGTTCCAGCATCCATGGCGAAATCTACTAACTAAGCAACTACCAAGCAAAAAACAGAAAGCTGCCTTTAAGATCCCATGGCTTTCTAGGAACATATGAAGATGACTGGTTTAGCTTCAAGAATTAAACATCAAAATCTAGTGAAGGAAACAGATATTTCTTTAAATGAAGTACAGAGTACACAGAATCAATAAATTATCAGGAAATATTTCTACATTCCTTATCTTATTATGCATAAAAGAGTGTGCAGAATCAGCTCTACACCCTCAAATCTGAACTTTATCAGATCATAAGGGTCAATGTTGCCCTCCAAACAAATACATCCGAAAATCTGGAATCACCCTTTCTTTCTCATGTACACAAAGATACAAACAAGCCAGGAAACCCCACCATCTTCAACGAAACATTTGAAGAAATGGCTTGTCAAGAATCTCACCCATGTACAAAGATCCAACAAGCAGATCCACCAATCAACCCCCTTTAAATCTACAACAAAAACAAGCTATTTACAAAATTTAATCATTTTCCGTGTCAAGCAAACAATGCCATTGAAATATCAGCCAGCTTTCTTCTGTTGATTTTCCTTCGAAACCGCAATTGGAGCTTCGGTGCATTTGGAGCTTCAATATCATCTAAGTCACTTGATTCCTCAAAATCAATTGAAGTTCGAAAAGCCTTGACCTTTGTTGGTGTGCTATAAGCAAAATGCGACTGCTTTGCAATCACAGTCTGAGGGAACAGAAAATAATGATGTTAGTCAAAAGAATCAGATTGAATAGCTAATAATGAGGAACTTACAATCCAAAATACACTGCATTATACTCACAGCTTCTCTGATTGATTTAGAAACATTAAAAAGTTGCTTCAAATCTTTATGATCCACACCACAAATAATCCTAATCTGCAAAAATAAGAAAGAAAAAGATCTTTCCAATCAATCACAATCTTACAAACCAAAACTAGAAACTACAAAAAGACAATAGAAGCTTTGGGATCCTTAGTACTTACAAGTACATCTTGAGGAAGTGATTCAAGAACAGATTTTTCATGGTAATCATCAATCATCATCATCACCATTCTCTCACTGCATTGCCTTTTCAACAATGGAAATTCGGTCGCAGAATCAAGAGGCAAAGATTCCTCCATCTCATTCGATATTTCAATCCTTTTCCTCCCCAATCCGCGAGTGTATCTTACAAACCCAAGCCCTAACTCTTCTTCCTCGTTCACAACATCATGCGTTAACCTCAGTGAAGGACTACGGTATACTCTGCCGGAAGCCATTTCCATAACAAACTCACTCCAAATTTTCCAAAAGACAAAACTCTTTTAATAATCTGAATCTAACCCTCCCACGAAAAGAAACTCAAAGATTAGATTTTCACTCCAAAATAATGGAATCTACAGAGAGCAGAATCTAGAAACAGTTTCTGAAAATACCTAAATTTGACAAGCAGAACAAAACCAAAAAGCGATCTTTATAGGAGCAGAACAATACTGAAACCCAAACTGAATCTGGGATTTCTTTCCTTAGATATAGGGATGAAGATATAAACCCTAAATTTGAGCGAAGATAACTGTTGCTTCACTGGTGAGAAGGGAAACAAAGAACTGCCTTACACAGAGAGTTGTTTTAGAAACTGGAACTTCTCCTTATATACCGGTAAAAGAAATTAAAAAAATATAATTTTTTTAATTTAAAAATAAAAAGGGGATAAAGCTACGCGTTTTTAATTTTTAATTTTTCTTTTTTACCCCCAGAAACTACTGGAGAATTCCTATGAACAACACGGTAAATCTTTTTGTTTCTCCCTCGTCGTGTGTGTTGGGGGATATTTTAATATAGTCACTTTTGGCGGTTAAATTCCAAACTAGCCGTTGGGAAAGAACACGTGGACAGAAATTAGATGGAGGTAGGGAAGCAACTTGGGTTGCTGCCTGGAGATGACGTGGAGATAAATGGTCGGTCTAAGTCGGCTTTGTCGTCCGCTTCTTTAATACGTTTCTCTGTTTTTTGTTCACTTGTGGTGGGAGACACGGCTACAGTGACTAACATGGTGCCGTTGCAGCTCCTTTATTGGTTGCTGGATGGGACACGTGTATGGTGGATTAGAGTTTGGTGATATTCAGCGGATGGAATTTCGTGCGGACGTACATACGAGTCGGTGAGTGAAGGGATTAAAACAGCCGGCTACTTGTATCTTTGACCAATGATTCTAATTTGGAGGCTGACGGCTGTTGCTGGTTTTACACGATGGGGCCATCCATTCATTGGTCAACACACGTCAAAACCATGGCCGTAAAAATATTGCAAATAAACACCTTTTCGCCCTCAATTTTCGCCCGAATGGAGGTCAAGGTAAAGTGAAGAACAAGCTGGAAGCTTCGGCCCACGGGGTCAGGACAAAGTGATGAACGAGCTACATGAACACTGCTAGAAAGAGTGTACATTGGGATGTTACCCAAACTCAAGACAGAAATCAAACGCACCAAAGAAATCACCGCTTCTAACCGATTTGACCTTAACTTGCAACAGAATCCAAATTACAGATCGTCATCATACGAGGTCCTGGAATGCTGGGGAGCAAGGTTTTTGTCAATGTCATGACCATAGAAACGCACAACTGTGGGAGAGATGTCGCAGTCCTGACGAATCTTCCTACACATTGATTCGTTCCCAAGAGAGATGCTCCTATATTGATTAGTGTTGGGAGAAACCCGAACCTAACATTCCAATCGTGTGGCCCGTTGCAACAAATATTTCACCATTTCTATTTCATGATCTCCGGACTTGAAACCTTCCAGTTTGACAAATTGAAGGCAATTTAAGAGCTGAGGATGTTGTTCAACTAATGGACATAGATTGTCTTCCCAATATGATCGAGTCCTAAAAGATTAAAATGTTTGTAATTTCAGTAATCAAAATATATATAAATATAAACATTTTGAATCATATAAAAAAATTTTACATACTTTACTAAATGTTTTAAATTTTAAATTTTCCATATAAATGTTAAATTGTAAGTAATTAAACATGCTTACATCATTGAAAAGCTTTTCCAAGCAGGGAAATTTCGAGAGAAAATGGGCAATATCATGTAGATTGCAAAATGTAGCTCCTGCCACGAACATGATAAAAACTAAAGAATACTTTTCATAGCTTCAGGGATTTTAGCATCTCGATAGCCTCAAAATGGGAAGCAATCTTGTAAGGGATTTGTACTAGACAGAAATTCAAGTCGAGCTCTTCGACTCCTTTGTCGATTGATGATTGAATCTAATTTTTGACAGTGTCTTCAGCACCTGTTGGATCAAAAAGCAAACTCAACGTTTGGATGTTTGACCCCAGGTGGAGACCAAAAACATGGCCGACGATCTTGAGAAATTCCTTTCGACTGTGACCGCCTTGCAAAACATCCATCAAAGCAGAATTTTCGATTCAAGCAACCAAGGTTGCTTGAATCTTGCTGACACTGTTGACACTTGTATTGCTTGTTTGTTTGGCAAAAACGAAAAGATGTAGGCAATTAGAACATCATCTGGGAAACTAAAGAAAGGCTCGTTGACAAAATTTTCTTTCTTGTTTCTCTTTGGTGGATTTTTCAAGTTCTCATGAATTCCAGGAGACGCCATAAGATCAAACCATTGGCAAAAACTTGGGTTTCTGTTTCTACAAATTAGTGCTACTTACATGCAGTAAAGGGAGAAGGATATTATTTTCTAGCTAGGGAAACAAGAAAATCTAATAAACTAGCTACCAATTGAATACTATCATTACTAAATGGAGATATCATTGAATCAAAATATTAGAAGGCAGCTTCAATTAAATAGGAAAAGATAAAAAATTAAGGAGGATTGAGGTTCAATGTTTCTTCATCATATTACGTTAGATTTTAATTCTTCTTGCGTTGAGAAAATTTAGTTTCCATAATTGGGTTACCCTTTCTGCAGTCCTTCTCTAGACACAAATTGATCAGACCTCAGTCAGACATGGGAGGGCTATTCAACAGGGAACCTGCAGATCTTGGGTTACCGTTTCTGTAGTCCTTCTCTGGACACAAATTGATCAGACCTCAGTCAGACATGGGAGGGCTATTCAATAAGGAACCTGCAGATCAGTGTTGTAATGATCAGCGTCATTTTACATAAGCTAAAGTTATTAATGTGGTCGTTTTGAGTCAGTCCTTTCTTAACCCCACTTTCATATTCCCTGCTCTTTTTTTTTTAATAATTGAAAAAGAGGAAATTTGAACCTTGCTCTTTAGGCAGAGAGATTATACACCAACCAATGAACCAAATGCTCAAGTGGCACTTCCATATTCTATACTTGATATTGTTGGCAAATGGAAGTATATTACCTGATAAAAAAAGCTTGAATTTGATTTTGAGATAAAAATGGTGACAATTGATAAGAATCATAAATTTCTAAAACTTTTCATTTTTCCATGTATAATTATTCCTTCCAAATTTTTGTGTTCTTTTCATATGAATATTTTTCGAATTTTTATGCTTAACAATATTCAATCTTCATGTGAATAATTTTAGATCTTCAATAATTAGATCATCATGGCGGCTAGATCATTGTGATAAGATTAAAAATACATCAAAATTACCTACATTAAATGATAGACTCAAAACGATAACATCAGTGACTTTAGCTTAGGTAAAACAATGCTGGTCACTGCAACATTGATCTGTAGTTTCCTTGTGGAGGAGCCCTTCCACATCTGACTGAGGCCTTATCTATTTGTATCTAGCAGAGAATTGCAGAAATGATAATCCAAACGATGAAAACTAAATTTGTGCTAGACAAAAAAACTCAAAATCAAAGGTAATGTAATGAAGAAATATATATTGAACCTAAATCCACCTTAACTTGTTTTATTTTCTCCTATATAATTGAAGCTATCTTATGATATTTTGATTCAATGGTATATCCATTTGGTAATAATAGTTGTAGAGGGTTCTTTTGATTAAAGAGAGAGGACGTGTTGCAATAAGTGAATTGGGATGTGTTAGAAGCAGCAGAGAGGAAGATTGTAGTAGTTCTTGAAGCGTAAGTGCTTTGGGTAGCAGATGGTGAAGGATGAAAAAAGTGGAGAAAGCGATAGATTACGGTAATTGGGAAAAGCTAAAGGAAAGGAATATTTGTAGGAATGTAGAGAGAGCTTTCAGGGTAATCTTTTTGCTAAGTCGAAAAAAATCTCCCTCTCTTTACCTCCCAACCTCCTATTTATACTGAATAATAGCACTTTCTTAAGAGTAGTTAGGAGAGCACGTTTAATCATGGAGAACGTGCTTATCATGTTAGGGCAATTGAAGAACGTTTTCCGAGGTATTAGAAGAATGACAATGTAATTGAGTAGTGGGTGTAAGTTTTAAGTAAATGAAATAGTGACATTTGATAGTGTGTCACGTGTATTTTTAAAAAGTAAGGAAAGACAAAAAGGTAAAGCACATGTACTTCAAAGAAAGGTTAAGAGGAAATCCTCTTAACTATCTCCATGTTTGAGCCACCAAGCCAAACTCTTTAGAACATCCCACATATGAAAGTAACTCATGAACTCAGCCACTTGTTTTGAGTTACTTTCACTTTCCCATAAAAATAGCTGTTCTATGCTTATTCTTGGGTGCTTCTGTGCTTGTAACGCTTCGGGTGCTTCTGTGGTTGGAACCTTGGAACTTTCTGTGCTTGGAACTTCTTTGGATGTTTCTGTACTTGGAACGCCCTTGGGCATTTCTGTGCTTGGAACACCCTTAGGCGCTTCTGTACTTGGAACGCCCTTAGAAGTTTCTGTGCTTGGAACACCCTTAGGCACTTCTGTACTTGAAACGCCCCTGGACGCTTCTACGCTTGGAACTCCCCTAGGCGCTTCTGTACTTGGAATGCCCTTGAGCGTTTCTGTGCTTGGAACACCCCTAGGTGCTTCTGTATTTGGAATGCCTTTGGGTGCTTCTGCACTTGGAATGCCTTTGGGTGCTTCTGCACTTGGAACTCCCCCGGTGCTTCTATACTTGAAATGCCCTTAGGCGTTTCTATGCTTGGAACACCCCTAGACGCTTCTGTGCTTGAAACACCCCTAGGTGCTTCTGTACGTGGAACGCCCCTGGACGCTTCTGCGCTTAAAACTCATCTGGGCTTCTGTGCTTGAAACACCCAAGGACGTTTCTGTGCTTGGAACACCCCTAGGCGCTCTTGTCCTTGGAACACCCCTGGGTGCTTCTGCGAATGCCCTGGGTGTTTCTGTACTTGGAACACCCTAGGTGCTTCTGTACTTGGAACATCCTAAGCGCTTCTGTGCTTGGAACACCTTAGGCGCTTCTATACTTGAAATGCCCGTGATGTAATTATTTTTGTAAAACCAGAATTGATCATCTACAATAGTATTCAATTGCTAGCTAGTTTATTAACTTTTATTGTTACCCTAGCTATAAAGTAAGATCATTTTCCCTGTAGAGCAATATATATGGTAGTATTAGCAAGAGCAATTCCTGATAGTTTGAGCATATAGCTATGGCATCTCTAGGCATTGAGAACCTAGAAAACCCACGAAAGAAAAACAAGAAAGAAAACCTAGGTGGCCATGGTCATAGTCCACATCCTAGAATGTTTATGGTAAAATTGTTGTCCACCTCTCTCTAGTT